GTGTTTATTTTGTAATCTGGCTACCAAATTAATAAACAGTAGAAGTATAAACGCAGTCATACATAGCTATGTACTAAGATATACCGTAATCAAAGATTGCAATGTAGGCTACATTTAAGTGCATAATTTGTAATTGATTAATCAATAATTGGTGTCAGTCTATCATTAGGATCAACCACTTAGTATAGGCCTAGGTTAACCGGTTAATCCATCTATATCAAGGTTATAAAGTACGTAATAGTATCACATCTAACTATACAAAACCAGTATAAATTGACCGTCGAGCGTTCGGAAAGGTCATACAAGGATAGACCACGATAAATTGGTTTTTATATAACTAGTATAATCTGACCGTTGAGTGGCCGAAATGATCACACACAATGAGATCATGATAAATTGGTTTTGTATATGTCGATCTGTTGCTGTGTATACTAGTGCATACGGTCACGGCTCGCTACTTTGTTGTACTTAGGTTCATGTTCTATGTCAGTGACAGATGGTCTTGCATTACATACATAACTTCACGCCTTTTATCCCTGAAGGAATAGGCAGAGGTGCATCTGCACATACGGCACTTAATGCCACTGTACAATGTACCGCCCACTTTTCACTATTTATGTTATGAGTCCCATGTAATAGGGGGTGAGCCTATTGCCATATACGGGGCACATTTCTAGACCCCGTGCTACTAACTGTAATTGGGCCTTCGGTAACCGGTTCGATGAAACACAATACAAGCGTTGTTTCACGTCGGATTTCTGTGAGGCCGTGGTATCACTCCGGTCGAGCCGAAGCATGGCTCTCCCACACCTAAATTGCGTACAAAATGAGCACCTCTGCTTATGCTTTCAGGGATTAAAAGGCTAAATCTTTTAAGTAAATTACATAGTTATAGCAAAAATAACAGGTTTAAATTCACACAATCATATTATGTAAGTTTCAACAAAAAACAATGGAAAAGCGAGCAAACAATCGTACCTGGAATAGTATAGTAGGTGTAGCTTATTATACAATTATACCAGTTTTAAATACCAGGTACTAAGTAGTTTTACTAGTTTTTCCTGATTGAACACCGGTCAAAGGTTACGTCTTATGTAATTATTGTTGCATCTGTATTTATTAGAAAAGGATACATTTTTTGCTAAGATTTATGAAGATGTATATTTAATATGTTGATAGAAATGTTGGTAGAGTAAAAATGATTCTTATGTTTTTCGGCTTCCTTATGTAACTGCTTGACGAGGAACTCGTCTAGTTTGAAGTTATTCTAGAGGCTCATATTCATGAGCAGCATTCCGCGACACATGACCATACTCATGTCTTACGAACATTATAATACTAACTGTACTATTTTATATAAAATAATTCTGATTGCACGGTTAGTGCGGTGGCTGGGCAACCGGCTGCCGTGCAACGTGTCGCGGGTTCGATTCCCGGACGGAACAACACTTTGTGTGATCCACAAATTGTTGTTTCGGGTCTGGGTGTCAATGTGTATGTGAACTTGTATGTTTGTAAACGCACCCACGACACTGGAGAAAATCCTAATGTGGAGCAAGGTTTTCCTAAAAAAAAATATCTATACAAATAGAAAGAAATAGTACTTGTGGTACGACATTTACTCTTCCTTTGTGTGTTGTGACAATCGATTAAGGGAGTTTTTTTTGTAGGAAGGTAATCATGCAACGCCTTCTTCCGCCTTGAGTGAGGCGAAAGGGAATGTCAGACTCTTACTGACTAAAAACCACCCGGTTCCTATTTCTTCTCTTCGAGCCGAAACCTTGGCAGCCTGTTAGGTCCTCCACGGCTCCGTATCGGCATCAGACCTATTGGGCCCCATCTGTGGTCGTCTGATGCCTCTGATGGCTCTTTGAGGCTCACTTAGGCAAAGCTAAAAAGCTAATCATATGACAGAGACTGAGAAGCAGTGTTCTCTGCCAAAACAGATATTTTTAATCTGCAATCTGAAAATGAACCGCACATTATAATGTATTATGTATAGAAAATTTAGAACATTAATGTTGAGGATACTCATAGTTCTGCGGTGGACTGATGTTGGTGGTGATTAATGTGTTCTACTACGCAAACTGGTCAATAAAACATTATGGATTTAACAATTTAAATTTTCAGTATCTTAAGTCTAAAGGTTTCCCTTTATCTCCAGGTCCCGGCACCCACAAGAACGCCAGTATCAGTGCTCGCCATATGAACAACCTCCAGATTGCCATACACCGCATCTCCAGCAGTGGACAGGTCGTGAGGAGAACCCTACCCCTTGAGAATGCGCCTAAAGTCATTGCTAGGGATAAAAATATAGGTAAGTTTAAAGTTGAGATATTGTTTCTTCTAACTTGTTAAGTTTCTTCAATCAGGTAGTTGAGTTTAAACCAGATTTAGAATACACGTCGGTTTTTTCCGTGTAATGATTGCCATTTGCTGTTCATAACCTTCTAAAGAGATATTTTCTTAAGTGGGAACATCATCATCATCATCAAATGACTCCTCTTGCTCGGATGAGGTGGGAGGGAGTGTCAGACTAAAAACTAAACTAAAGTTATTAACTAAAAACCATTCCGTTCATACTTCTACTTTATTGGTTAGACCTATTGTCAGATTTTTTGGCTTATCAACTGGTATATAAATGTTCGTGTGATATTCGGGACCGCATTATGAGTTTTAGCACACCGCCATTTTCCCGTGCCGTGTTCAAGATTTCAAATTTTTTTTTAATCTTCGTTTGAAAGAAAGAAAGAAAAAGAAACTTTTCCGAAAACCGTATCAAAATGGGTTCAGTTAATCGCGAGATAATTGCGCACAAACATAATGAACATACATACAGACTCAATTGAAAATTTTATTTTTTTTAAGTTGGTTAGAAAAGTTCCTGTAGCGTTCCGCAGATTATTTAATAGTGGGATTATTAACTTTATTATGCTGCACATAAAGTAGTTATTAGCAAAAAGTAAACACTACTTTGACTACTTCGTCATGTTCATCTGCTGATGCCCAACCTTTGGACAGAATTAACTGCTATTAAAACAAGTACCCATTTATTAAAAAGTTAATTGTGCAAAATTACTCTTCTTACAAAGGCATAAAGACTAATGTTGTTATATTATCGTGAAACCGGTAGCTCTCTATTATTTTTTAATAACATATCTGACATTTGATGTGGTCTTCATTAATTTAATGGTTCAATAATTTGTATAAAACAATTATATAAATTACTAGTGGACCCGACAGACGTTGTCCTGTAATAATAGGTATAGATAAATAACCTAGAAACCGACTGCAGCGCCATCTGCCGGGCGTATTTGTGAATCTAAACCATTCCCATATCCCCTTGAACACACACAATTTTTTTATCAAAATCCAGGTCCAGTCGTTTGAGAGAAGTTCAGTGACATACACATTTACAGAAGAATTATATATATAAAGATTGTGCAGTAATTTGCAACACAAAACAAGTTACCTACAGTGTAGAGATGTACACCATCCCGGCATTTTAGTTTGACAGTCCCGGAATCCGGGATTGTAACTGTCAAATTCATTTTTTTAAGTATTCTGTACTGAGTTTGAACTAGTTTCGTCTTGTTTCGAGGCAGTCTCCATTCGACTTTATTGCGTGATGCATTAAAATGAAATCTTACTTTGCCTACATAAACAATTTTTTTTTAAAACCTTGGTTGAGATGTTCAGCACTTAGTTTTATTTAATACTAGCTGTTGCCCGCGCCTTCGTCCGCGTAGAATATGATGCCTATTTTATCTCATGGGGCATTTAATCGGTATAAAAGCCTATCACCTAACTTAGCCGATACCTTACCTGTATACCAAATTTCATCAAAATCCGTTCAGTAGTTTCAGTGTGATTGACACAAACATTCTAATAAAGAAACCTTCATATCTATTATATTAAGGTGCTCCCTTACCGCGAGCATTCATATGTAATGTAACATTCTAGATTCGACTTTGAACATTACATTACAATAATACCTCCCTGACTAACGAGCATTTGCATGTAATGTTACATACAGATTCGACTTTGAGCATTTCATAGCAAGACGTCAGACATTGATGTTACAAGTTGTATCAAGATATTACACATTGTATCATTACAAGGAGCGCATTGTAATGCTCGGTTCTCCTCCTTCACTGATGTAATGCTCAGATCTGTAACGTTACATTACACACGAATGCTCCCGGTGAGGGAGCACCTTCAGTGTGATAAATCTTGTAATGCTTAGGTGTGTATTATTTCAAATAATAAACATTTGTTTCGCCCTACGTAACTAAGTACGTACGTTAGTTATTTGGTAAGTCACTAAAATGATAAGTATGTAAATGAAGCAGAAAAATAATAATAATATGTTGATAGAAATATATATGTCATCCTAGTTGTAAGCATTTTTGTAATTGGTTCCTATTAATTATAACATTCTAATTCTATTATTGTAACATATAACTTTGCATGCCGAAAACAGTAGGCGATGTATGTGGGACTATTTTTTATAATCATTATCACCTGTAATAACCATACTTCAATCAAATAAACACTCTTATTCTTATTCTTACAATTTACTACAAAACATTACCCTGGTCTTAATGTTTTGTAGTAAATTGTAGGGCATACCCTTGTCTTCATACTCATTGATTCCTCTCGCGCGTTTCTCGTACACACGGGTAAATATTATAATAGAAAGCGAATGAAGTATTCTGTTCAATCAAATAAAGAACGGGTTGCAACTTGAAAATATACGTCACAGAAAAAATATCCAATCGGTGCGCGTTTCACGTACACCCGTGTGTACAATTGCGCGATGGGCACTCAACTCTCTCGTACACCCGTGTACGTACGAGATACGCGCGAGAGGTTTACCATTATTACGATCAACCACTCAACCAATAAAGTCATATAAATATAATCAAATCACACGCTCAATTAAATCCTCTACAACTTAATTAAAAGTCATTCAGTTTGGTTAATAAACCAATTAGTAGTTCACAACTTAACGGAAATTACTCCAGTGGGATTCAGAACTGAAAATGTCCAATTCCCGGGGTTTTCCGGGATCTCAGTGACACTTCAGTTCGCATCTCTTTGTAGAGTAGTTTTATAACTATTATTATAGATGATCTGCATCCCATGGAAGATCACTGTTGAACTATAAGTTTTCTCTAAATAAGAGATCATACTTTATTTATTTATGGGCAACCAACAAAGCATACACCAAATACATTATAGGTTTTTTAACATATTTTAACACTGTATAGTGTAGCCTTAATTAAAGGCTGCCACGACATGCATTAAAAAAGAACAGGATATATGACAGCAAAGAGTTCGCTTATCAAAAAAAAGACATCTCAATAATACTTGTTAATTTACAATTGCTAAATTTTAATTTTACTTCGATCAGTTAGGTGAAATAAATTAGTATAACCTAACATAACGTCACGCCTTTTATCCCCGAAGAGGTAGGCAGAGGTGTACAATATGCCACTGTACAATGTATCACCCACTTTTCACTATTTATGTTATGAGTCCCATATAGTAGGGGGTGAGCTTACTGCCATATACCGGGTACAATTCCAGACTCCATGCTACTACTGAGAATTTATAAAAACCCAGTAGTACTTTGCTCGACCCGGGAATCGAACCCGAGACCCCTTACTCGGTAGTCGCACTTGCGACCATTCGGCCAACGAGGCAGTAAGTTAGTGTATCTCAAATTAAAATTCACTTCATGTTTGTTATCTACATGTTGACAATAGATGTTATTACAATAATAGTAGCAATTTACTAAAAACCACCCCCTTCCTTCTCCTGCACGTCGAGTCGGAGCCCCGGTTACCCGTTAGGTTCTCCGCGACATAATAGTAGCAATAAGGTGTACAATAGTTTGTCTCACAAACGTTATAACATTAATTATTTGAGTGTTGATTCATGTTCTAATTGTGCGCCATGTACAATTCTAATCACAAATTGAGTAGATTTAATTAAAACCTTCAACCGATTTCGACATAAACTCATGACATTGTTCTCACATATACCTACATATATTTATGATGTTGTTTTACGTATTTTAGTAAAAATATGTGGTTATTATGGTCTGTAGGCTTAAATATTTATAAGATGGGTTAAAATGACGATTTTCATTTTCCTAAGTTGTAGGTAATATTTATAAGTGTGGGAGAGCCATGCTTCGGCACGAATGGACCGGCTCGACCCGAGTGATACCACGGCCTCACAGACAACCGACGTGAAGCAACGCTTGCGTTGTGTTTCGTCGTGTGAGTGAGGTTACCGGAGGCAATTACCCTCCCCTTCTCCAATCTCCCCAATTCCTAAATCCCCAACGATCCTCAAACTCCTAATCCCCAAATGGCCGGTAACGCACTTGTAACGCCTCTGGTGTTCCAGGTGTCCATGGGCGACGCCGATTGCTTAACATCAGGTGATCCGTACGCTCGCTTACCGGCTTATGCCACAAAATAAATATTATAAAGGTCATATTTTCATAACCAAGACCTGACCCGACTACCAGCGCTAAGTCTAGTCGACTAGTCTAGTCGGTGCGTCGTGGGTCGTGAAATGCTGCTCATGAATATGAGCCTCTTGAAACTAGTCGAGTTACTCGCCTAGTAATTACGCGAGTAAATCCGAAAAACATAGTTATTTTAATGTTGGTCATCTACATTTAATTTTTATCATTACGATAATTTCATACATAACCTCGCGCCTTTCTCCCATGGGGGTAGGCAGAGACTATGAAACGCTAATTGCAGCGAAACGTAATAAACCCACCATATGATTTTGTTAGCATAAAGTAGAATAGACACTCTGGTATGTATTATGGACATTCCGGGACATGGGCATTCTGGGATTAGGACATTCTGGGAAATGGACATTTTGGGATGTGGACATTCAGGGATATGGACTTTTTGGGACATGGACGTTCAGGGATTTGGACATTTTGGGATATGTACATTCTGGGATATGGACTTTTTGCACCTTCTGGACATTATGAGATTTGGACATTATGTACCTAAACGGTTCCCACCGTTTACCGTTTAGCGTTGATCATCATCAACAGTCATCAATCTTTTTATCCAAGTACAATCACCGCTAGTTTACAAAATAAATGGTTAAATCCTAAAATTAAAAAACAAATGAACCACTACACATTCTTACATAATTAGGCAAACAGCTGTTAATTAATAACACGATATTAGCTTAAGTAGACAAACAATTAGAACAAACAATCTACTTGAACCTTACAAATATTTGTTTTATAAACCTTTAGTGGAACATTCTTTAATTTAACTGGTTTTTTATTGTTTAGTATTGCGCCCTTTAAACTAAGAAGGGATTCGCAGAAGTGTTAGTTTTACGGAATTTCAACAATAACTTTTTTGTCCTGTGTCGTGGGTGCGTTTGCAAACATACATATCACGCCTAGACCCCGGAACAACAATCTGTGGATCATACAAAGAGTTGTTCCGTGCGAGAATTTATTTTATTTATTTATTTAATGCAACAAGAGTACATAGGCGGGCTTAATGCCATGAGCATTTCAAAGTCAAGTCAAACTCAAAATCATTTATTTCAACTAGGCCAGAATGGCACTTTTGAACGTCAACAAAAAACTAAAATAAAAGTAAAGCTATTTGATCATTCCAAGGTGTAGATTCCTATGGAGAAGAACGAGCAAGAAACTCCATAGGTTTTTCAATCAGGTTCACAACACAATTTACTAGTTACATAGTTTTGCTGTTTGGATTGTGCGAGAACAATGTAACGCTAAAATCCAGTCAAAGTGATCAAAAAAGAAAATAACCTTAAGGACAATAATACAGTCTGGAGCAGACCAGTCCCAGTTGACGGCGCCCGTTCACGAACATGACACGTACACCAGCACCGCCCAACTCAACTATAGATATTGTAGAAAATCGAGCGATCCACTGCACGCGCCACCGCCAATGAGACTTTTGAACGAGCATGACAACTCCAAGCTGACACAAATGAATTCTACTAATCTAATTTAAAATTAAGTTAATTACAGGGCTCTCACATTTACAATGGTTATCTAAGTTAAACAATATACAATTTAGCAATATGGCTGTATTATTTACGATTTCATTAAAACAACAGTGTTTTTAGTTATACTGTGGAGCCGGACTAGCCTGCATCCAAGCATTTTTATCCTCTATATATTCATTAATTTTTTAATAATATGCTTGTTCACATGAAGTTTTTTACTAGCCAAACAACTAAACATTCTTACTAGCCAACCTTTAGGTGATGCAGTGAGAGTGTTGTCGGTGCAGTAAGTTCAAAATTAATTTACGTGTAGGTATAGTTGATAGTATATAGAGAATCGAACCCGCGAAACGTTACGCGGCAGCCGCTTGGCCAGTCACCGCGCCAATCGTGCAGTCAAACCCGACTGGCAGAAAAAATTTAATCCTACCTACTTCTGTTTGCATATATATTTGCGTGAGCACAATGCATGTGTGCGTGGACTGCGCTCCCACACACACCCATTATTCACGAATAAATCAGTGTGTTACGAGCAGCGAGTCGTTTCACTTGTCTCCGCGCTTCACACGCACATACCTACCTACACAACAGTGACGGTGTCATGGTGTGTTTATTACACTTTCACACAAAAACTACTGAATGGATCTTAATAAAACTTTGCAGAGACACAGATTATAATGTGTGGAATGACATAGGATACTTTTTATCTGGGTAGTTACCTAAAGCAGGCAAATTCGCTGGCAGATGTTTGTTTACTCGGTTTGTTAGAACAGTTGTTTTTATTTTAATGTCCGTCTGGTACATTATTTTAAATCATTAGACACGTATTTTTTTATTTTCTCACAGAAACGAATATCTACTTTCGACGATATATTGATTTGAAATGTCGCGTGACGTCACTTCTATGAACGTACGTTTTATACATAGAAATGACGTTTTAGCCCCTACTCCTAAACTTTGATTCGTTTTTATCTAAGTATGGTTTTATTATACGACAAAATAAAAAAATACGCGTCTAATATTTTTTTATTTACTAACTTACGGACTAATTAGATTTTTAATTTTCATACCCTGTCATCGTCCCAATTGTAATTCAGTTTAAGAAAAACCATTTACAATGCCTACAACATATGTCGTCACGTTCGCTGTAACATTTTTGACAAGAAACTCCTCCGATAAATTGAATAGTCAGCGTATAACAGGCTGATCGCGAATAAGCTAGCTCATATATTATTCATAGCATGATATATAAGTTTGCAAAACTTTGCCTTGCAGCCATAATCTAGACAGTGGTTCTCAAACTGTTAAGGGAGCATTTGATCGCTCACTACATGTGAGCGATCGGGACATAAAGTTGTTTTAAACTGTCAAACACCAAGCGGTCACCGGTAACCGCAACCTATTGTTCTATAATTGTGTCTATAATGACGGTACTCGACGAGGCTGACTTGGCAGTCAGCAACAGCTTAAAAATTAGAAAGGGAGTTAAAGGGAAGACGAATGATTTCCAAGAGATTTTTTAATTTGGGCTCAAGATATATTCTAAAACAAACATTTTGCATATACCTTTAGATTGAAACGATTGGTTGACTGTGCAGCAATTGAACAAGAGATCTCGGTTTTGACTACTGTATTACCCAAAAACTTGGGAATCTGGCCCAATTAGGGAAAGGGGGGAGGGTTTCCCAAACTCCCTAATCCCTGAATTTCCAACAATCCCCAACTACCATAATTTTTGACAAGCCCTTTTCACTTGGTCTGCTGTGCATTTATGACCTTCTGGTGTTATAAGTGTACTTAAGCTTTTTTTTTAAGGGGAGAAAATCATCGAATGTGCCTATGCTGCCGCCTGGGTGAGGCGGGAGGGAGTGTCAGACTCTTACTGACTAAAAACCACCCCGTTCCTTCTACTGCATTTCGAGCCGGAGCCCCGGTAACCCGTTAGGTTCTCCGCGACAAGTGTACTTAAGCTAGGGCTCGTTCATCAGTGTGAACGTTATTGCTACCGATAGAACAATAGTACAAAGTTTGACAATCACTGTACTGATATTCACAGCTCCTGTAATAATGCGAATGTGCTCTGAACAGTCTGTGTGTATGTGGCCTTATCTTGTATTTTTGGAAAAACGAAGGATTTGAGTATTTTTTTATTGTGATAATGCTCTATTGATATCTATAAAGTTAGGCCTCTTTAGGAATTTGTGGACTGGAAATGATTTAGGTTTATTTTTGTTTGTTTTTTTGTTCTAGTATGGGTAATTTTCTTGATGTATTTGTTTTATGCTGATTGTGGTAAACAAGCTTATGAGCTTCAGTTTCTATAACTGGTTTTTATTTTTGGTTTAGGATTTTGTGTTTCCCCATTTGTTACCGTAAACTATAACTACTTATTTATATATTATTTTTATGCTTTATGTTAGTTTTTACTGTACCTACTTGTACTTATTGCCTTTTTTATCATTTTGTAATTTGAAATCAAATCCTGCCTCACCAATTCGCTTTCAGCAAGCATGAGATTAATACTCAAACCTTCTCTGTGTGAGAAGAGGTCTTTGCTTCATAGTGGTCACTTTGTAGTTTTTGTGGGCATCTATAGGCTGTTGATGATAGTGATGATAATAATGAAATCAAATTCCAACGACAAAAGCGAAAAATAAGACTAATAAAAGCATGTATGAAGACGTGTAAAGATTTTTATTTTTATCGGGAATAACACTAAGACATTTTTAAATCCATTTTAAGGAAACCACAAGGAACTGTAAATTCTTGTTTAAGACGTGATCCTATTACGGAACCACATGTACAAATCTTTTAACTCCTCTATATACCGCGGTTATGTATAGTAAAGTACTGTCAATCGTAAATGGAACACATGTGGATTTTATATACATCCACACTGCAAATCAAACTACACCAACCCACGAAATTACTGCAAGCTACTTCCAACCTTAACTCTTTATCATAAAGTTGATGATGATTCAACAATTTTGAGGTTTATAGGGTAGCTTGATGTGATTTCACGTGTACTTCAAGCAGTTTACGATGCTATTACAGACTGATAATATTTCTAGAACATTTCCAATCATACTTGATACTTGAAGATCTTAAATATGCTAGTACCGTACAAGCACTGAATAGTCTTGGTACTCGTATAATATTTTACGATTTTGAATATTATTATAGCATTTTTAGAGTCCAGATTTCCTTGTAAATATGATTTAGTTCGTGGTAAATCTTGCTAGATAGATGAGTGGTTTTTGATGCGACTGCTGAGCGTAAGGTACTATCATATATTGACTATTTTGAAATTGTACTTTACTTGTCTGTGACTGCCTCGTTGGCCGAGTGATCGCAATTGCAACTGCCGGGCAAGGGGTCTCGGGTTCGATTCCCTGGTCGGGCAAACTATTACTGGGTTTAAAAAAAATCTCAGTTAGCACGGAGGTTAGAATTGCCTGGTATATGGCAACAGGTTCTACCCCTATTACATGGGAGTCAAAAGTGGGTGCTACATTATACAGTGGCATTAAATGCTGTAATGTATACCACTGCCTACCCCTTAGGGGATAAAAGGCGTGATTTTATGTTGCTATTTTATATTACTTTACTTGTCCTTAATATTGTGGTAATATTCGCAGCTAGTAATTTTTGTAGGTGTATCACCAGGTGGCACCGGTGTAGCCTAAGGTCCTATTTGTTGAATTGAGCTTCTAGTAAACTTTTGATAGCTACCATAATTGGACTAACAGGCCTCATGCTACTACAATGCCATCTGGTGAGTCACCAGTGGTGAGGATATATCTTTTTCTATATCTTGTTTGCTGATGTCAATATATTTTCTCTATTTTCAGATTTGAAGAACAAGAAGACAGTGGTGTATGCAGTAGGTTTTATGGATAGTTCAGCATTCCCGTTCTCTCAGGCGATCGGTACTTCATATGCCAAGCGAGGGTACAATGTGTTTGTTTCAGAAACACTGGCTTTCCTCACCTATATTTATCCAAAGTGAGTTATTTAACATTAGGTATATTTTTTTCTCTGACTCGCTGGCCGAGTGGTCGCAAGTGCGACTGCCGGGCAGGGGGTCTCGGGTTCGATTCCCGGGTCGGGTAAAGTATTACTGGGTTTTAAAAAACTTCTCAGTAGTAGCACGGAGTCTGGAATTGTGCCCGGTATATGGCAATAGGCTCACCCCCTATGGGACTCATAACATAAATGGTGATAAGTGGGTGTTACTTCTGTGTGCACCTCTGCCTACCCCTTCGGGGATAAAAGGCGTGATGTTATGTTATGTATTTTTTTTCCTTTCTCATTTCTAGCTAGCTCCCATACATGGAATTGTCTTTCTTTGTACTCCAAATTATATGTAGAATGTTTCAATAAGATGGGTTGAGTATCTATATAACGCGTAGAGGCAACAAACAAATAAACAAACTTATTTTTGCATTCATTTATATTATTGACTGAGATAATTATCATACTGATCGGGTTGAAATATAGAACAGGAGTATATTATGGTCTGGAATAACACATAGACAAAAGGTAGTAGATTATACAACTAAACTAAATAGTTCTAGTTTGTAAAGGTAGGTACCACTGTCCACATTAGCATTAACTTTTGTAGCTCAAGTTATACTTTTATAATACAGTTGGCAACTTGGCAGTCACAATGAATGATATTAAAATAGTTTATAAAGGTCAGTAATCTTACTATGATGTAGGTAAGAAAAATGGACGTCCAATAAGTTAAACATTAATCAAAAAATCTCAATAATGTAATGTTTCAAATCTCTATTTTTGGGCAAAAATCAAGCTTGATGATACCAAGACCACGTTCATATTAAACTGTCAAACCCCGCTTTCACCGGTGACCGCAACCTATTGTTCTTTAATAAAATTGTGTCTATAATGACGGTGCTCAACGAGTAAAAGTCTAAAGCACATTATGTCAGCGAATTGGTTAAAACGTAGTTATTCTTAGAATATTCTTAACCCAAGAATCGTACTTCAAAAAGCCATTTTCCAAACTTCCTTGAAACTCCGATAACTTGCTTCAGAATCCAAAACGCAAATCGCCATGACAATTCATCCTTCCGCGTAAGATCTCTGATTTCCTAGAACTATATACTCAAAATTTATGGCCCAAAGGTCATCGGTTCGAGTCCCTGCTCGTAAATTTTGCCGGAGTTTGGCACCGGCCAAAGATATTGAGATCGCTGTAAGTTGATAGGGGTGTGCCCTTAAGACTAGATTACGTATTTGTGTCCTTGGTAGGGCATATTTTTTGTGTGGAATAGGTAAACCTTATTTAAGGATATAAATTAGTGAACATTAGGTGAGGTTGTTGGATTAACTTACTCCGTCACGTTGGAGACCCGGTTACCTCACCCATACGGTGAAAAACAACGCAAGAGCTCACGTCGTCGGGAATGGCGAGACGATCTCCGGCTACTAAGCAAGCAAGGGCCTGCAGACGGTGAGCAAGGGTAGCTCGCCGCCCGACCAAAACCAGACCCGAACGTAAGGCGCGTTGCGTTCCGCGCGCGCCTCAATGAGCCCATTAGGGCTGATGCTGTCACGGAGCTGCGGAGAACTTAACGGGTTATCGGGGCTTCAGCTCGAAGGGCAGGCGGGGTTAGCCGTTAGATGATTTTCCACCCTTAAAAAAAATGCGCTATTTCGCGTCAGTTTTCTGTGAGGCCGTGGTATCCAATTTAACCAGTTCTTTCGTGCCCAAGCGTGGCTCTACATATTTCTCAAAGGATAATAGATCAACGGCATTATATAAAATTAAGTATGACGTAAAATAAAATAACTCCTAAACTACGTCTCTAAAATGATTAATGATAAAAGTGTTAAATGTTTAATCGTTGCTAGCATTATTCTCCAACAAGGGTTCAAGTAGATTTTGTTCCATCCGGGAAGCGGTATAGTTGAGATTAATTTGTCTTTGCATTTACTATTTGATCAAAGACTGCTCAATCCCCAAGTGGTCACCGATGACCGCTCTCCACTAACTCCATTATAGATCTTATTTCCGATGTTTAGAGACTACTTTTGAATGAACAAATGGGGTTTTATATCATATCGGATTGTGTTAAAATATCAGTACCTACAATAGATATTAGGTACTCTAAAATCAACCTAATTCACAAATCACTTTAGGTTAAAAGATTTATAGCACAGTTATTAAAATAGACACCTATCTACTTATATTGCAATGGGAGCCATTGTTACCGTACAGACAGGTATCCGGTTCATTGCCGCTCCCGACAACTAGTGATGTGACGCGCGGGTATTTAGCGGATACTATCCGTCATATAATGGGCTGTAATTTTGATTTATTGAAGTGTCAGTTGGTAATAGAGTGTTATGTGATATTATTGTATTCTTTTTACATACTTTCGCATATATCTGTTTACAACTGTTTGATAATTGCTAAAATATTACAATATTAAGTATTTTTATTTCTTTTTTAGGAATCAAATTTTTCTCAGAAAGCTACAACTAAAGGAACTCAGAAAATAATTTCACAAATAGAAAATTGCAGTATTTCCATGTTCCTTTGAAATCGTATTACCTCGACGCTAGTTTGCACAAACTAGGTACTTCTTCAAAGGGAAAAGCAGATGTACATATTTCTAAAATGAATACTGAAAGTATTTTATTTATGATTTATTATATGATTACGCTTTTCGCCATTTATAAATCGACGGTTACGTTTACAATTGGGTAGTTTCTAGTTTCTAGGGTATCAAAATTAAAATTCTAATTAGTCCGTCAGTATAATAAAAAAATATTAGACACGTATTTTTTTATTTTCTCATATTAAGTGGCAATACTTAGATAAAATGGCGCTAAGTTTAGGATTGGGGTTGTTACGTCATAACGTGCTACAAAATGTGGCACGCTGTGACGTCACACGATATTTCAAATTAATATATAGTCGAAAGTATTTAATTTTGTGAGAAAAGAAAATATACGTACGTAAAGTTTTAAATTAATGTACCAGATGGACATTACAATAAAATTTAGGAGACTACCCTATTACAACCACTTAACTATCTCAATTGAAATGTATCTTGCTGATATTGATAAACTATACTTGGTTCTCCCGCATTCCTGTGGGGTAAAAAGTGGCCTATGTGTTTATTAGTCTAGACGATAGTCTGCCCATGTTCCAAATTTCATTTTAATTCCTTCTGCCGTTTTGACGTGTAGGAGTATCAGACATACTAACTTTCGCATTCATAATATTGCAGATATTAGTGTGGGGTAATGTTTTATACTAAAAAAATATGCAAATATCTGCCTCGTTGGCCGAGTGGTCTCAAGTGCGACTACAGGGCAACGGGTCTCGGGTTCGATTACCCGGATCGTACAAAATATTATTGGGTTGTATGAATTTCTCAGTAGTAGCACGGAGTCTGGAAATGTGCCGGGTATATGGCAATAGGCTTACCCCCTATTGCATGGGACTCATAAAATAAATTATGAAAAGTGGGTGTTACACTGTACAGTGGCATTAAGTGCCGTAATGTACACCTCTGCCTGCCCCTTTGGGGATAAAAGGCGTGATGTTATGTAATACGAGAATAACCGCAGTCTATAGTATCCGAATACTCGAATGCCCATCCCTATTGTATCTTAAGCTCATGATCTGTTTGATCAGATGTGGGATTATTGTCTGTTATTGCGTATTACTCTGATAAATTGAGTTCGTATAAGAATGGGGTAAGCAGAGCTCCTGCTAGATTGTGTTTAGCACCTTGTGCTGAGTGAAATATTGCTAGGAGTGTTTTATGAGGAGGTTCTACGATATTGCTATTTTGTGACAGATGCGGCATGTAATTTAAGTTTTGGTTTATTTGGTTTGAACAATTATAAATCAAGGTGTAGGCAAAGAAGTTCAAAAACAGGCGGACATAGTAGCTAGGTCACAGTCCTTGTTTCAGGAGACTGTACGGCTTTTTGTCTACGTTCTTGGGTCTATACCCAAGAACGTTGTTTATACATAGGCATTTATAAATTTATGTAAATAATAATATATAAAAATTAATCCCTTTTTCCATTACGCGTGAATGGCTGGACCGATTACACTCATTTGCTTTTTTGTTGTATTTATTATTGTCAGGGCAAGGTTCTCGTGACAGAAAAAATACCTGATAATCCTACGGGTACGGGAGAATATGGGTTTGCGCGAACGAAGTCGTGGATAGAAGCTAGTATATAATTATAATAATATTTAGTTTCTATGTAAGTTTCTTTACCTCATGTTAAGTAGTAATTAGACTCTTTGCACCCTAGGCTAGGCTATAGGTGTTTAAGTGTTGAAATATTCTCAAGAATTAATATACATATATGTTTAGCATTGTTTATTTAACGTAGGTACAGGACTATAATTTTAAAACCCCCTTGTCTTGACTTGACTTGTTTTTATTAAATTAACTTGTCGAGTACCGTCATTATAGACACAATTATAGAACAATAGGTTGCGGTCACCGGTGACCGCTCGGTTTTTGACAGTTTAAATTAACTTGTCGAGTACCGTCATTATAGACACAATTATAGAACAATAGGTTGCGGTCACCGGTGACCGCTTGGTGTTTGACAGTTTAAAAAATGACATTATATTTCCTTTCCTCTTTTCAGATCCGTCCGTCTAGTGCGATTCATCGGGAAGAAAATGGGAGAATTCCTTGTAAGACTAACCGAACTCGGCGTCGATCCAGCCAACCTAGAACTTGTAGGCACGAGCTTAGGAGCCCATGAACTAGGGTATGCAGCCAAACATTTCTTTAAAACCACAGGCAAAAAAGTCTCAAGGCTAACAGGTTTAGATCCAGCTGGACCTTGTTTCAGAAGCCTAGGACCAGAAGATAAACTGTGGAAAACTGACGCTGAACTAGTCGACGTCATTCATACAAATATAGACGGATTTGGCATAGCAGAGGCATTAGGACATATAGACATTTATGCCAACGGAGGTGAATTTCAACCTAGTGATATTCCCTACATACCTTGCCTAGTGATTTGCAGCCATGTCCGATCTATGATATATTGGTGGCAAGCTTTAGAACACCCTAAGAAATTCATAGCTGTCAAATGTAATTCTATTCAAGAAGCGAGATTCGCTCAGTGTTTTAACAATACTGAAACTAATTATCTAGGTGTTGAAGCTCAATTTGATAAACCAGGTATTTATTATTTAGCTACTAATAACGAGTTTCCCTATTATATGGGTAAAGAAGGTTTGAAAGAGGAGAATGAGATTTATACTTCTGTTGTCAGAAGAATTAATGATGACGATGGGTTTGTAGCATAGTTTTGGGGTTTCAGGGTTGTTTTAGAGTAATTTGGACAGTGTGTGTCTTGTGATAAAGTTCATAATTGAAATGGTGGGAGAAAATGAATAAGAAATTGTATAGTACTTGTAATAAGCTTTGTTTAAAGTGTCGTAAAGTACAAATTTGGATGTATAGAAGTGTAAATAGTGGTTTTTCACAAAAAGAAAAGAGGTGTCCATAGAAGTCACTCAAAGCAAGTTAAAAAGTTCTTTTAACTCCTTAAACTGTATTTTGTCCTTGTCACACATTTGAAATCTGTAATGTGACGTACAGAGACAAAAATACAAAGATTGCATTCTAGAATAACGTTATTTTTTTTAGTTCTATTTGACTTCATAAAGTTTTCGTCTTTATCTAGATGAAATAAGGTCTATATTGTCAAGAATTTTATAAATTATACGTATATTTGTCTGTCTATGATTGTGATAATGTGATGTGATTACGTGTATTGTATTTAATACATTGTTTATATTTTTTTTTTTTTTAAGGGGGGAAAATCATCGAATGACTGCCCCCGCCTGGGTGAGGCGGGAGGGAGTGTCAGACTCTTACTGACTAAAAACCACCCCGTTCCTTCTCCTGCACGTCGAGCCGGAGCCCCGGTTACCCGTTAGGTTCTCCGCGACTCCGAATCGGCATCGGCCCTATTGGGCCCCATCTGTGGTGGTCTGATGGCTCTTTGAGGCGCGCGCGGAACGCGACGCGCCGTACGCTCGGGTCTGTTTCTGGTCGGACGGGGAGCCACCCATGCTCGCCGTCCGCAGGCCCGCGCTTACGGTGGCCGGAGATCGTCCCGCGATCCCCGACGCCCGGTGTGTCCTTCGCGATGGCTGGGTTGCGAGGAGGCAGCGCTTCGCTGCCTCACGCGTCCCGCCTCCTCCTTAGCTAGCATGACTGCTTCGCAAAAGGAGGAGACGGCATCCCAATCCCCCTCGCTCCGCATCATGGCCTGCACTAGGCCCGGACGCGAGAGGTCGCCATCGCCGATCACTTCCCTGAGGACACGGCGGTGCTCAGCCCACGAAGGGCATTCTCCCACCGTGTGTTCCACCGTGTCCTCAGGGCGGTCCTCGCAGTGATGACACCCGGGCGTTTCCTCCCGCCCCATCAGACACAGGTACCTCCCGAAACTGCCATGTCCGGTGAGGACCTGCGTCAGGCGGTAGGTGAGGACGCCGTAGCGTCTCTCAAGCCACTCCTCAAAGAGGGGACTTACCGCTGCGATGGCAGCGAGCCCAGCATTGTTTATATTAGGAGTAGAGCATAAAGCTAAGTACAAACTTTTTAGTTTAAAATATTGGAATAAATTTAATTTACTTTATTCTCCAAGTCTACGTTGGTTACAGGTCAATTCTTATTGTTCTTACCTACTTATTTGTATTAATTATTAACTATTTACATTTTATTTAGTAACAAAATAACTTTGACTGTTTTGTATTTCGATCCTCAACTTCACATCTGCAGTTTTACGATTCTAGCCTAATAAAGAATATGACTTTAAAAGAGACCGACCTCTGAGTTTATTTCGGCATTTCTTCTCAGAGTAGTCAGTTAGGAAATATCGGGCTCATCGTTCGCTTGATAAAATTGACGTGTAATAGTGCTGCTTTGTAGCCTATTTGCAGAAATAAATTCACTTGTTTCACTTGTAACTTATTGCGATGTATCTTTTTCGTTTTATATTAATGTCCGTCTGGTAGATTATTTAAAAACATTAGACACGTATTTTTTATTTTCTTATGTAAATGAATACTTTCGACGGTATATTGATTTGAAATATCACATGATGTTAATTTTGTGTACGTTTTATACTCAAAAATGAATTAGCTAGCTCCCACTCTTGAACTTGATTGATTCATTTTTATTTAAGTATTGTTTTCTTATACGACAAGATAAAAAATACGAGTATAATAATTTTTCACGGACGGACTAATAAGATTTTTAATTTCCATATCCTGTCATCATCCCAATTCGAAAATATATGAATGTAAGTAAATAATACTGTGCTCTCGAACTCAATAATTCAATATCATTGACTTGGCTACAAGATATTCAAGATGAATATGAAATAAAATATTATTGTAATAATTATATTTTATATCATTACCGCTTTGGTATGAGCTGTAACATCCAAAACTGTGATTCTAGTTAGTAAGTTGTGTAATTATTATTATTAAACATGTATTTTATTTATTAAAATAATTCTGTATCTCTCTTTTATTTCGTATCCTAAGAAGTACCTACCTATATCTCTATTTCAATTCAAATTGTTGAAGTAAGTAATAGTAATGTTGTGTTATTGAGAAATTTGTTTGACAATTTCAAGGCTGAAATTCCGAAATGGCTTATCCGAAATATGGAAATCCTTGGCTTGAATGTTTTGGACATCATTGGACACCGTTGCTGATGTATTAGCAAAGATTATGTGAGATTTTTCGAACTGAAACGTAGATTTATTTATTTAGGTGTTACATTCACAGAATTGGGACAATTTTACACACGAAAACTGCCTATTCAATACGTCCTATATGATACGCCTTTACTTTTAGTAAAAAAAAGATTTTCATAAAAAAAATACAATAAAATAATGTATGAAACCACGCAGACTGCGACACCACCTCATGAATAATTTCGCTCCAAAACATCGGACATTTCGCGAAAAACCGGACAATACCAACATTGTAGAGTTGTACTGTTACATGTCTACGTTAATACCAATTCATTTTGGATGTCTACTTTTGGGGATCCGGCGGGAAAAAAAATTTTTTTAAGCATTCAAGAAGCAAGGCATGTTTTTCATACTATATTGTATAGAAACGGCGCCTAGCATAGGTAATTTTCTCCTGCGTCGTGGAGATACATCAGCCTTTTTTTAAGGGGGAAAAATCATTCAGTGCCTCCTTCCGCCTTGGGTTAGGCGAGAGGGAGTGTCAGACTCTTACTGAAAAACCACCCCGTTCCTACTCCTGCTCTTTGAGCCGGAGCCCCGGCAACCTGTTAGGTCTTCCGCAGCTCCGTATGACATCTCAGCCAGGATCAGGGACAACAAATTGTCGATCACACAAAAAAATGGTGTCTAAATAAACTCGCCATTCATTTTGCCACAGCCAATCCATCCATTGCATTAAACTTAGCAGTACGGTCTACTATTGATTTTAATTTAAATAATAAATGTGTGGCGACACATGGTGCATATCAACAGATGACGTCACAGAAATCCTAAATCGCACATGCAAAGTTCACAAGCAAATTAACACGGATAGAAAATCCCAACGAAAAACTGTTGGGCAGAAAGCCCTCTAGGCACGATCACCTCGCCTGGTCAGACGATCCTCCTTTTCCGATCTTAGGGAACTTTACTCACTGTTCCCTAAAAATGTAATTATCCCCAAAAATATGTTGAAAATGAAACCAAATACATTTTCCCTTACAATACGGAACCATAACAAAAAGATACATTTTAAATCATCCAATTTGCGACATAATCCTGTGCCCAAGTGTCGGTCCCCTGACATCGGCAGTATAGATTAAACGCGGTCCCGTAATGAATTCAAAATGTTTTCATTTCGTCACATTCATGTTTTGACTATGTACCCACTCTCCAGGGATTCCACGAAGTCATACGGTGGGATTGAAGTTGATTGAGACTGTTTTAGATATTTTGTTTGGTGTAAGATTGTATTGTATTGTGTTGTATTGGGATAGTATGGTGTGGTGTGGGTGTGTGTTGGTTGGCAAAGAGATGTTCAGTTGTGTATGTGGTGCTAACTATAGTTTTTGACGGCTCTCTTGTATGCATATTAATCCTCAGGAGTAGGCAAAGGTTAGATGGGGTAACTAGCACCCATTTTTCACCAGATTGAATACAATAAGTGATGATGTATGTTATGAGCGTGTTGCTATACACTATGCATAATTTCAAACTTCGTACTTGTATTACGTAACATTAGGCCTTCTGTTTGGGCAGGCAAAAGTAGTTTAGCTACTTAACATTACGCCATTTATCCCCGAAGGTAGACAGAGGTACATATTGCAGCACTTATTGCCACTGTACAATGTAACACCAACTTTTCACTATTTTATGTTATAAGTCCCATGTAATAGGGGTGAGCCTATTGCCATATACGAGGCAGAATTTTAGACTTCACTACCACTGAGATTTTTTTAAAACCCAGTCGTACTTTGCACGACTCGAGAATCGAACCCGAGATCCCTTGTCAATCGCACTTGCGACCTATAGGCCAACGAGACTATTACTAAAAAAATCTCAAAAAACTGAAAAATCCATTATTTGTTCCGATCTCGGTTTCGATCACTGGAACCAGAGACCTCATTATCTACTCAAACTTTTTTTTTGAGGAATTAAATCATTCAATGAGTTCTCCCGCCAAGGTTACCGCCTAAAACACCCCGTTCCTACTCCTGCACTTCGAGCCGGAGCCCCGGTAACTCGTTAGGCCTTCTGTGGTCGTACACCTTGCGACTACAAAGCCAACGAGGTACTTCATTATTCTACATAATAAAATAAAAAAGCCTTATATTTCTTACTAGCGACCCGCCCCGGCTTCGCACGGGTGCAATATGCATGTATTATACATACAAACCTTCCTTAAGAATCATTCTATCTATTAAAAAAAACCGCATCAAAATCCGTTGCGTAGTTTTAAAGATCTAAGCATACATACGGACATACAGCGAAAGCGACTTTGTTTTATACTATGTATTGACTAGTTTACAAAGAATTGAAAAATATAAAATATTGGTTTTACGTAATAAGATTTCCTTTGCTTTACGTCCTACTCAGTTAACGTTGCTTGTAGTAAGAACCCCTCGCGTTATTCGAAGGTGAAGGCCTCTTCTAGTGCTTTCCATTTGTCCCTGTTCTTGGCGATATTCATCCAATGTTTGCCAGCCACTTGGATTATGTCGTCTGTCCACCGCGCGTATGGTCTGGCCATTATTCTACATACCTTATTAACGATACTTTCTTCTGAGAAAATATTATAAAATGAGTTCAACAAACGTCAGTGAGTCTTTCAAGATTGAAATATAAGGGGCGTCTATAAAAATGGTTGTATTTTCGTTATTTTTAATTTACTCGAAGCTGTTGTAAAAATGATTTTACAGTTGAAAATGTTCAAGTGTTTGTATACCAGGTTTCTAGTGGAAATAAGTGTTGTTATGGCAAGTGGATTTAGTACTTTCTTTAACCCGTCGTATGTTTAAACGTGGCTCCACGCGAGACACAATGTATTTTCTATTGTGTCGCATATTGGCTATGTGCAAAGCGAATAGTGGCGTACAGATAACGAACGCAGCGCACAACACGGCAGAAATTGGAAACAAATGCGGATGATGCAAACCCGGTTTTTATTATTATAGGTATTCATTTTACAGTAAAACTATTGAATAAATTGCACTTAAATAATGTCAACAATATACTAAAACTATTTTAATCTTTGGTTTTATTTATATTTGC